GTCTATCCATCTCTTTAAGGGCCTTCCCCTTCTTCGTTGACCCTCCACTTTACCAAGCATTATATCCTTCTCCAGGGAATGATTCCTTCTGACAACATGACCAGAGTAGGTGAGATGAACTCTGCCCATTCTCGCTTCCAAGGAGCATTGCAGCTGCACTTCTTCCAGGACAGATTTGTTAGTCCTTTTAGCATACCATGGTACTCTTAGCATTCTTCTCCAACACCACTGCTCAAAAGCATCAACTCTTCTTTGGTCTTCCTTATTCATTGTCTAGCTCTCACATGCATAAGAAATGATTGAAAATACCATGGCTTGGGTTAGGCATATCTTAATCTTCAGGAGACATTTCTGTTCTTCATCACTTGAAAGAGGTCTTTTGCAGCAGGTTTGCCCAATATACTACGTCATCTGATGTCTTGACTGCTGCTTCCATTGGTGTTGACTGTAAAACTAAGTAATATGAAATCCTTGACAACTTCAATCTTTTCTCCTCCCACAGTGAAGCTGTTGATTGGACCCATTATGAGGATTTTTGTTTTCTTTATATTGAGGTGTAATCCATATTGCAGACTATAGTCTTTAATCTTCATCAGTAAGTGCTTCAAGTCATCCTCACTCTCAGCAAGTGGAGTTGTGTCACCTGTGTATCGCTGGTTGTTAATGAGTCTTCCTCCAATCCTGATGCCATGTTCTTCATATAATCCAGCTTCTCGGATTATTGGCTCTTCATACAAGTTGAATAAGTATGGTGAAAGGATACAACCCTGACACACGCCCTTCCTGATTTTGAACCAAGTAGTTTCCCCTTGTTCTGTTCGAATGACAGCCTCCTGATCTATGTACAGGTTCCTCATGAGTACAATTAAGAACAATGTTCTGCAATTCCCATTCTTCTCAATGTTACCCATGATTTGTTATGATCCATACAATCAAATCCTTTTGCATAGTCAATAAAACACAAGTAAACATCTTTGTGGTATTCTTTTCTTTCAGCTAAGATCCATCTGACATCAGCAATGTTATGTCTTGTTGTACATCCTCTTCTGAATCCAGCTTGCATTTCTGGAAGTTCTCTGTCAATATACTGCTGTAACCATTTTTGAATTATCTACAGTAAGATTTTACTTGCATGTGATATTAATGATATTGTTCAAGAATTTCCACATTCTTTGGGATCACTTTTCTTTGGAATGGGTACAAATGTAGATCTCTTCCAGTTAGTTGGCCAGGTAGCTGTCTTCCACATCTCTTGGTATAACCAAGTGAGTGCCTCCAGCATGGCATCCTTTTGTTGAACATCTCAATGAGTATTCCATCAATTCCTGGAGCCTTGTTCTTTGCCAATTCCTTTGATGCAGCTTTGACTTCTTCCTTCAGTATCATTGGTTCTTGCCATATGCCTCTTCCTGAAATGGATGAACATTAACCAATCGTTTTTGGTACAGACAGTGACTCTGTGTATTCCTTCTTTCTTCGTTTGATGTTTCCTGGATTGTTCAATATTTTGACCATAGAATCTTTCAATATTGCAACTTGAGGCTTAAAAAGTTTTCGTCAATTCTTTCAGCTTCAGAAATGCTGAGCGTGTTGTTCTTTCCTTTTGGTTTTCTAACTGCAGGTCTTCGCACTTTTCCTTATAGTAATTGGCTTTCTCTGCTCCAGCTGGTCTTTGAAATCTTCTGTTCAGCTTTTTTATCTTGTCATTTCTTCCATTTGCTTTACCTACTCTCTGCTCAAGGGCAAGTTTCAGAGTCTCTTCTGACATGCATTTTGGTCTTTTCCTCCTTTCTTGTCTTTTTAATGACTTCTTGCTTTCTTCATGGATGACGTTCTTGATATCATCCCACAATCCCTCTGTCCTTCGGTCATTGGTGTTCAGTGCATCAAATCTATTCTTAAAATGGTCTCTAAATTCAGGAGGGATATTATCAAGGTCATATTTTGCTGTCATGGAATTGTTTTAATTGTCTTCAACTTCAACTTGATTATGCATATGAGCAGTTGATAGTTTGTTCCACAGTCAGCTCCTGGCCTTGTTTTGGCTGAAGATACTGAGCTTTTCCATCACCTCTTGCCACAGATGTAGTCAGTCTCATTCCTGTGTATTCCTCTGGTGAAGTACATGTGTATAGTCATCGCTTACATTGTTGAAAAAAGGTATTTTCAATGAATAAGTCGTTGGTCTTGCAAAATTCTGTCTTGCGATATCCCGCATTATTTCTGTCTTCAAGACCATATTTTCCAACTACTGGTAACTCTTTTTTGTTTCCAACTTTTGCATTCCAGACACGAGTGATAATGAACACATCTTGATTGCATGTTTGGTCAATTTCAGTACTGCAGAAGTTGGTAGAAATCTTCAATTTCATCATCTTTGACTTTGGTCATTGGTGTTTAAATTTGAATAATAGTTTTATTAACTGGTTTTCCTTGTAGGTGTATGGATATTATCCTATCACTGACAGTATTGTTCTTCAGGACATATCTTGAAACACTCTTTGTGATGATGAATGCCATACCATTCCTCTTTAATTTGTCATTCCCAGCATAGTAGATCATATGGGTGTCTGATTCAAAATGGCCAAAACTAGTCCATTTCAGCTCACTAATGCCTAGGATATCGATCTTTATGCGTTCCATTTCATTTTTGACAACTTTAATTATCCTAGATTCATAGTTTGTACATTCCATGTTCCAGTTTTTAATGGATGTTTGTATCTGTTTCTACTCATTTTGAGTTGTGCTGCATCAGCCAGTGGAGGTCCCAGAGGCTTTACTCTATCCATATCGTTAAGGTCGTCTCTGAGAAGTCAGCTCTTCTCCAGTCAAATTTTGAGTGCCTTGTGACCTGATGGGCTCATCTTCCGGCAATATATTGGACACTGTTTCAGGGCTACTCATAAAGTTCTCCAGTAATATATCAGACAGTGTTTCACTGCCATTGATACGTTTTCACTGGCTCATTGTTTGAGAAGTGGATGGCCTCTTCTTTCTTATGAGTCTCTTTCTTATACTGGCATCTCCACTGAAACCTGTCCACCATGGGTCACCCTGCTGGCATTTTGCAACATGGTGGCATAGCCTCCATCCTCACAGACAAGTTCATCTTCTTTAGTTGTTCCTAACCCCTCTGCACCTGCCTACTTCATGCAATGGCCCTAATATACATCCACCCACAAGTGAAAAGCAGCCCCCAAGCCCTGGCCTTCCTACCTGAGATCCTGGCCAAGTGTAAAACAGTCTCCAGCCCCAGGTCTTCCTATCTGGGGCTCTGGCCTTAAAATAGAGCCGCCCCCAAGTGAAAAGCAACCTCCAAGCCCCAAAACCACCTACCTCAGGCCCCAGCTTTAATATAGAGCTACACTCAAGCGAAAAGCAGCTCCAAGCCCCGGGCCTGCTTACCTCAAGCTCTAGGCCTGCCTGCCTCAGGCCCTGACCTTAATATAGAGCACCCCTAAGTGGAAAGCAGCAAAAATTGCTGCAAACTGACAGACAAGTTCATCTCCCTTAGCTGTTCCAAACCCTTCTGGCTCGCTTCCTGGTCTCCCTTAGCTATTCCAAACTGCCACCAGCTTGCTTCCTGGGCTCCCTTAGTTGTTCCAAACCGCACCACTTACAGTGGGGCAGCTTATTTTTTCAAAGTGAACAGGGAAATTACTGACACCAATTGGCCAATGATAGACATAATTATAAGAGTGACTGTCCTGTCACCTTTGCCATATTCTATTAGGAGCGAGTCACAGGTTCCACCCTCACACAATGACACGACTCATTGGGGGCCATCTTAGAATTCTTCCTCCCACAGTCATGTTACATCTATTATACTGGAAATGATTGGGAAAAAAAAACAAAACAAAACAAAACTATATTACTAGGATGGAATGGGAGGTATGTGTAAGGAAGGAAAGGTATGCAACAGGTTTCATTTTGATGTTTTCATCCCTGACTGTTAGAAAGGAGAGTTATTGGAACTTTAAGTAAAGTATCTTTTAAAAAACACATACTTTTGATTCAGTGCCTCTCTCTGAGTAATCTGTTTTATAGAAAGCGATCCTCTGATACCAAAGGATATAAGAAAAAGACATTTACTGCAGCATTATTAGCAGTGGTAGAAAACCATAAGCAAAGTAAATGCCTATCAGTAGGGGGAGTGGTTGGACAGAGCAAGGTACACTGTGTAATATTATATACCCTTAGAAAACTTAGCTTAGTACTAATTGACTAGAAGGGATTTGTAAGAGATATTACTGAGTGAGATAGGTTAGATGCGGACAAGTGACCTAATTCTTATGAGAAAAAAGGTAGAAACACCCTTGTAGTTTTACTTCTGTATCTGTATTTGATTACATGAGTGTGACAAAAATATGGACAATATATACTAAGGCTTTATGTGGGGGAGGCTGCTGATGAAGATGAAGGTAGGAGGACAATGCCAAGTAAAAGAAGAAAAGGAAAAACAGACTGTTGAAAAGGAACACTAGTCTAATATGTACGATGTGGTCACACTTAATGCATTTATGTAAAACTTTGTGTATATTTAGACAGAATGTTAAAACATAGATTATATTCTTAAAACTGATCACTATATGGGAATACTCCTATTTCTTTGTACAGGACTTTGAAAATGGATAATGAATATTTTCAGAGTGTTCACATTTTTTGTTAGAATATATTATCTTAATTTTCAAGTCAACACCTGACATTGAGATTCCTTAAATACAGAACACTGTAGCAATAAAAAAAGGGGTTGGAAGATAAGAAGGTATTGTTTAGAAATTTTTCCTTTATTTAGCCGTACAAGAGTTTGAGCAAGTATATAGACCTTAACATAACTAAGTTTGAAGTCTAGTAAAAAAGTTGTTTACATATCTACAGCTAAAAAATAATAACGCTTATTTCAATTTCTATAATCAAAGTTCTATTTTTGACAAGCTTTCCACATTGGAGTTTTATAAAACTGACTGAAACATCTAACACTTAAAAGCATTTTTTTCTAGTGTCTTTTTCTGAAGATGAGAAGTATCAGCTACGAAACTTTGTCAATAAATCTTATCTGCTGGATAAGAGAGCCCACCGTCAAGTGTACTACAGTCTGATTGATATCCTTCTGGCCTATTGCTATGAAATTCGTGTCACTGAAGGAGAGAAGAATGTAAGTACATGTGTGCCTGTGCATGTTGTTATACTTTATACCTTACAGCACTAAGTAAACTTTATCGAAGCATCCACTGTTGAGAGTAAAACCTGGTGTGATTAGTTATTTAAGGGATGTTGTAGGCAGGGCAAGTGTGTGTTGGCGGCAGAGAGGAGCTTGAAAGCATAGTGCTTTTTGGTCTTTTTTATTCTCTCTTGGTGTTAGTCTCTACCGAATAGCAAAGCTGGGAAATTTAAGGAATTAAGGCTGAGGGTGGAGAAGCAGATATCCTGAGCTCTTATCTCTGTTCAAGAAGCCCTGGTGGCACAGTGGCTTAGTGCTCAGCTGCTAACCAAGAAGTCAGTAGTTTGAATCCACCAGCCTTTCTGTGGGAGAAAGATGAGGCAGTTTGCTTCTGTGAGGATTTACAACCTTGGAAATCTTATGGGGCAATTCTGCTGTTCTCTGTAGGATCTCCATGAGTTGGAATCAACTCAATAGCAACAGATTCTGATGTCTCTTATGAGATGACTAGCTAAAGAGGAAGGCTGTTGTTGAACAACTTGGCATGGGCAAGGCTGTAAATTTTACCATACCTATCATACCCATCTCCCCTCTTTCTGCATGCTGTCAGTTAGCAGATGGAAGGTATGATAGCATTTTACAAAAAAAGGAATCTTCACATTTACCTTCAAGTGACCTTCAATTCATGTAGTGTCAACGGGGCAGGGAGGCCACATCTTCTGACCTCCTCTAACCCCATAATAGGAAGACAGAATCACCATTAGCAGCCCAAGGCCTATGCTTGTGAGGCTAAACATGCTGGCTCCCTCCAGCCCTTTTGTCAACGCTGACATCAACCATTCCTCCCACATCACCCACCACCTTTCTGCTGGGTTCAGTAATTTGCGGCATTGGCCACACAGAACTCACAGATTATGGAGTTTATTAGGGAGGCACCAGGCAACAATTCAAGTTCAGGAAAAATGCTCAGTCTCTCTCAGCCTGCTGTCTCTCAGTCAATAGTCTCTCTCAGTCTCTCTCCCAGCAGTGCATGTCACTCAGTGTTTCTCTCTCAGCAGGGCGTGTCTCTTGGTGTCTCTCTCTCAGCAGTGCGTGTCTCTCAGGAGCACGTTTGTCTCAGCAGCATGTCTTTCTCAGCTAGCAATCAGAGAGACACTCCTTCTGCCTCTAGGAGGCTTCCTTTTGAGACTGGCAGAGTGGCCAAACTGACCAATCGTAACATCAGAATTCTAAGCACCTGGGAGCGAACTTCCCAGAACATTGCTTTGTGCCACTCTCAACAAAAACATCCCAGGTGGATAACTTTTAACAATCAGGAGCTCCTCAATCGGTCACAGCAAATTCTACCACCAAGTTTACAAAGACTATGGCTAGAAAAGCCATACCAGGTAATTTACACCTCATATAGTATATATGCTTTGGAAAATTTGTATATAAAGCAGATCTTTAAAACTACTGAAATCACGTTTATTTTTGCTAATTAAAGGATTCCCATAGAAATCCACCTGTAAATTATCATTTTTTAAATGACCTTGCTAAACTGATAATGTAGATTCTATTGTATTTCTTCTTAAACCACACTTAATTTTGTGAAAAAAAAAGCTAAATTTCTTTCTCACTCTTGTATCAGTGATCATATATAAAAGGCTGGAAAATCAGATAGTCATTCCAGTTAATGTGTGCTTATACTTGTTTATAATTGTCCTTATTCAGGGAATTATATTTTACTTGAGCAAATAATTCATATCATTGTAAAAGAAAATGTATACATGAAGGAAGTAATTAAAATTAATTGTAATTTCAGCCATCAGAAATGACTACTGTTACAATTTGCTCTATTGCTTTCCAGTTTTCTTTCAATGTGCACATGTATATATATGTATTTACATTAGATCAAAACATTTATATATTTTATCACTTTTCATATGTAACATCATAACATTAGCATAACATTAGAATTTGATAGGTGCCAAATTTATTGTTTTCTTGATTCTAAAAATTTGTAAGGTGACTCCTGAGGTTTTCATTTGACTCCAAACCGAATAGTAAGGAGTATATAAATGTATCGGGGCATAATATCACTGAAAATGCTTTTTTTCCTCTATTCATCTTTTAAAGACACTATAATTGAAGAGCTCTGGTAGCATAGTGGCTAAGACACTTGCCTGCTAACCAGAAGGCTGGTGGTTCAAACCCATTAGCCACTCCTCGGAAGGAAGGTTGGGCATTCCTACTTCCGTAGTGATACTGCCTCGGAAACCCAAGGAGGGGTCGCTATGAGTCGGGGCCGACTCGATGGCAAGCAACAACAACAACATAATTGAAGAAAATGTTTTCTCACGAATAAAGTGCTTCGTGTTACTGCTTAGAAAAATGAGTAAGAGTGTTTAGTTATACTTGATAAAATTTACCATTTGATTCTTGTATTTGCATATTTGAGATCATGAATCTTACAACTTCCAGATTGTCTCTAGAATTTACTTACTCTTACAAGCATTTTCTGAAAGGCCAAATTTTTGAGCAAGTTTTTAAGTACCACAGACAGCACTTCAACATTATCTTTGATTCTCTTGGTAGATTATTTCTTGGATGTATGAGAGACAAGTAACTTATTTGAGAAGGAGCGAAATTGAGCAATCATCACTTTGCTTTACAAGTTTCAAAACTCCTAGTTATTTACCCTTTTGTTCTGGTACTCTTATCAGTGAAAAGGCTTTATTTTATAAAATTTCAATGAGATTAGTCTCTGATAGCCTCTGCATCAGTAAAGTGATTATTTTTCTGTAGTCTTGAATACTTCTTAGATTTTATATATGGCAGTACTAGTCAGACAGTATTTGAGTAAATGGATATATTTACTTTCTTTTTAAATGACATTACCTCTAATGTGACAGTACTCTTTTTCTTCAAAACAAACAGGTTGAATCTGCATGGAATATCAGAAAATTGAGTCCCACTTTGTGCTGGTTCGAGGTATGATTTTCAGTTGCAGTTGTTTAGATTTTGTTTGTTCATCAAGTTTACACTTCTGTCATTGTTAGTTCATTTTGGGTAATTCAAGCAGTCTCGACTTTGTAAAAGTAGAAGCTTTATGATACAAGTTTGTTTTTCATCTTTTCAATAAAATCCTGATTCCATTTGTTACTCTTACTCATATCATAGGATGCTGATGAAGCCAGGTTGGGTATTTTGGAAGTTGAGTTGAGGAACACAGTTTGGGGAAAGACGGAGACATATTTTGTTGGGCGGGAATGGGGAATGGAGATTGAGGCATGATTGTAAGTTGGGCATATATTGGGACTCAGAGCTTCTTATTTGTAATTCTTAAAAAACTTCTTAAATACTACCTTTCAACATATGTAATATTTTAAGAAGCATTTGTAATATGCTGCTTTAGTGTCCCTAAGGCATTTGACTGCTAACCAGAAAGCTGGCGGTTCAAACCCACCAGCCACTCCTTGGAAGGAAGGTTGGGCAACCTACTTCCATAGTGTTACTGCCTCAGAAACCCAAGGTGGGGTCACTATGAGTCGGATCCAACTCGATGGTAGTAGGTTTTTGCTTTTGGCTTTAGTATGAGTAATTACAAAGATTACAATTAAATATATTACTGTGAAGTGTACAAAAAAGATCTCATTTCATAGGCTTACATTTTTTTACTACTTGGCTTCCTGGTGACGCAAATTTATAGTTTGTAATTGAAAATAGATTCGTATTTCATTGTGTGCTTTTAGTTGTGAAATACATTGTATGAAAGTGATTACTTATTCAAATGGCCCTTCACAGACTTGTACTAATGTTCATGAAATCCTGGTATCCTTTGGAAGAAGAGTTTTGTGCTACCCACTTTATCGCCATTTCAAACTGGTGTTGAAAGCCTACAGAGATACTATAAAGATACTACAACTGGGTAAGATAATTCCTGTGCTTGTACATTTGAGAGTGAAAAAGTTGTAAGTTTTTAGTTTGTGAAGATGTAATGAGTTTTGCTTTATTTTTCCTGTGTATCAGTGAAAATTATCCAAAAGTCAAGTAATCCCCTCTCCCCTAGTATATAAAATAATGGTCCCTTTATGTAGTTATATGATCACTTAGGGAGGTGGGGTACTTTTTTCTGAGGGGCATGGGAAGGGTTGCTAACCATTTTGTAGTGCAGTGTATTACGTCATTCAGTAATTTCTGAATGCTTACAGTTTTCTACATGTTATACTAGGACTGTGGGTATAATAATAAATAATAAAGATAAATTCTATATCCCTATGAAGTTTACAGTTTTATGGGGAGACAAATGATAGATTAGTAAACTATTCCAAGGTAGATTGAAAAGTACAATGCTGGGTAAGTAGAGGTTACTCTGGGATCATTTATGAGGAGATACCTAGGCTTCAGATGTCAGGAAAGACTTTCCAAAGAAAAGTACAGCTATACTCAGGATATTTGACTATTGCTGAATCCAACCTGAAAAGACAGAAACTTGCTAGTTGTAAGAATGTGGAAAATTCCAGACTCTGAAAAAAAATTCCAGAGTCCCCATAACAGCATCAGTGAAGTAAGTATATAATTTGCAAGGTAATGACTTTGAAGGGGACAACATCCATTTGTATGAATTAGTTCTGGCACATTTATTTAAAAGTCCCTTTCAATACTTTATGGTCATTTCTTATATTCTCCCTGGGGGACTCTAGTCATTCTTTTGTCCTTAGATAAATGTGTTGCTGGGGCTTAGGTTTTAGACTGCAGGATAAGAAGGGGAAGAAAGGAAGTTCTTCCTTCTACATCCAGGTGATTTCCCTGGCTCAAAGGGGAGAATCACATCTCTAGTGTTTGGTCCTACGTAGAGGTATCTTTGTTCTCTTTGTAACCCGTGTAGTCTTCTTGTCCTGGGAAGAAGAGTCATGTTTGAAGTAGATTCTATTAAAGTAGACTTTAATTATAAAAATGAATAATAGTTAAATGAATGATATAATTTTATTCATCCATACTAGCTATATTTTATTTTGAACGATTGTTAATTATGGGATAGCAGAACTCAACCATTGAGAAATCTGTCTTCTTTAACAGTGGGAAATAAACTGCTCTGTTTCTTACGTGTTCTTTCTTCTTGCCTTCCACCCAAGATATTTCTTGAATTGCTGAAATTACCTTGAAAAATCCATCTACAATAAATGACTGATTGCGGAGCTTGAAGAGTAATCAGTTACATGTTACAATTAATTTCTGGTTTAAGTCATGCTAGATTATTTGGGCATTATTTATAGATTTAAAGAGTGAGAATGTAGTTTGCGATTGTCCTTTTTTGTCATGGCTTCCAGATGGAAAACTGACAGAGCACATGCAGGAGTGGGCATGTGTACATATACACAAGTGTGTATGTGTACACATACACACATGTGTGTACACATGTACAAACTACTACTCATGATTTTTTATTCTGGGAAGTAATCTAGTTCCTAGGTTTTTATTTGAAAAGTAATCAAGTTCTGTGATTGCATAACCAAAAGTAAATTTGATTGCCTTGATTTACACTATAATCAGTTCTCAGTTTTATTTATCAGGTCAGAAATGAATCTAGACTTAACTGTTCATCATTATCCGTCTTACAAGAAACACTCTTATCAGCTGTGCTATGATAGCAACAGAAAACTTGAATTAACACACTAGAGACTTCTTCACTGAAAATGAATTTGAAAGCTCTGTGGATCATATGCAGTATGTTCTGTTGCTAATTTGGGTTTTGGCTAGTGAATGCTGAAACAGGGCTAGAGTTCATGCCATAAACTGTGGGGTAACAAGTTCTGGATAAGGCTCGTAATCTATTTGTGCAGGTGGATGGCACAGGGATGTCATTAGTGCCACTGAAGAGTCTTGTTTGTTCGGACACCTCATAATTTTAGTGGGAGTAGCTCTGGTTTGGCATATATTTCAAAAATGAATTTGTGCCTATTTATGATTCAAAATGCAACCACAATGGTCACACTTTTTATTTTAAAGGTCAGTATAGCACTTCTATAGTTGGAAGTAATGAATACCTCTTTCTGCAAAAGAAGTAATCTTAAAGGAAATGAGCCTCCTAAACCAATATAAGAATGCTTCTGAATCTATAAATTGTTTTATTATAACTGATTGACTAAGGTCTGAGTTTTCAAAAAGCTATGGATTAATCCTGAATAGATGGGGGAGAACAGTGTGGAACAAAACTCAAAATAATAAAAATAGACCAGAGTTACTGGTCTGCTAGTCTGGTGAAACCCGGAAGACTATGGCCCCTAATTACCCTTCAGGCATGGAATTTAACTCACTCCCATGGCTTCCAGCCAATAGATAAGCATACAGGGTGAACATTTATACCAGGTAGATATGATCTTTAAAATTATCAATCATGGGAGAACAGAAGGGCAGTATTTACACAGGGAGATTGCATAGGAGGCAGGAATGCATTGGAAAGGACAACACAGGGAGAGGTCACTACAAGGAGGAAGTGGGAAGAGAGCTGTTACATTGTGGGGATTGCAGTCAATGTCATGAAACAAAATGTGTAGGAACTGCTGTATGGAAAATGAATTTGCTTTGTAAATTTGCAGCCAAATCCCAGTAATAATAATAATAAGTCATGAATTTGCTTCACAGTAACCTTTACAAGGTTTCTAATGTAGGCTTTTGACTAGTTTTAATTTTGTATTCATTCCTTCTCCTACTCTCTCCCCTCCTCCAAAAGACTGTATATTTATCTCCCACTGTTGCTATATTCAAACTCCTTCAAGTCCAGAAAACCCTGTTTTTCCCCTTCATGTATTGTTTAATGCTTAACGAGGCCTTGCACCTAGAATTGCTGTCTCTGGGATCAGGAATCTTAGGGCATGTGATTGTCCCCCCTGTTTTCCTCAGTCTCTGTCTCTTAATCAACTTTCACACCCTTTCTTTGTGGGTAGAATCTTTCATGGAAGCATCACTTAGCTGATTACCAAAAACACACTGATATCAAGTTGACTCCGACTCATAACAACCCTACAGGTCAGGGTTGAACTGCCCCTCAGGGTTTCTAAGATTGTAAATCTTTACAGAAGCAGACTACCTCATCTTTCTCCTGCAGAGCAGCTGGTGGGTTTGAACTGCTGATCTTTTGGTTAGCAGCCAAATGCTTTAACCACTATACCACCAGACCTCCTTAGCTGATAGTAGTCAATTTAAAATAAATTTTAAAAAGGATAGAGAATAGCTTTTCTAATATTTCAGAAGTTTTATTCTATTTAGAAATGAATAGTTTAATACTTCATTATACATTGCTTATATTATATACCAAATCTTTATTTGTGCTAATAGCTACATTTCATTAATCTTTATAAAGGCATCCTTCATTTTACTTCTGTACTCTTGCTCAATTACTGAACATACGTCCTAATATTGTAACTATTATACTGAAAGTGCTAAACATGGGGTGGAAGGAAAAAGCTTTAATTTTTCTCCCAGGTCCACTTATGAGCTCATTCTGCATATTCTTTTATTGCTTCTGGATGGAACTGTAGGCAAGCTTCTATAACTTTTTTTTTTTTTTTTTAATCATTTTTAGGTTACAAAAAGTTCTCAACATTTTAGTTACAAGAGAAGCCTAATTTCAGTTCTTAAAATGTCTCCTTTATACACCATTTAGGAAAAAAAAATTTTTTTTTTCTTTCCCTAGCTTAGGCCTGCTTCAGGTAGGGAAGTCAGCAGTGGGGTAGAGAGAGGGCCCTCTTTGCTGTTGTAGGAAGTACTGCTTACTTCCAGGGAACGTCCTTAACTCAGTCACCACAGGTTGTTCCCTCCAGCTTCCATGTGGGAAGCTTTTGAAAAGCATGGGCCAGACACTAGTCTCTGTACCCCACAGTCTCCTGGGCATGCAAGTTACACTCTCTGAGGGCTTCTAAAAGCTGGTTTCTCTTGTTAAGTTGATAGGAAAGCATCTCCTCCTAATGCAGGCTGGTAGGAAACCCCACAGCACTTTTTCTAAAGAAATTTCCCTGGACCTCTTTACCCTTAAGCTCCTGGGTAAGGGTTCACAAAAGAGTTCTTAGTTACCCTCTCTTGAAGGTCGGCATAGGGAATTTGGCATCACTTCTTAAAAGACGGGATACTTGATACATATTTTGTCCTTTGTGTGTCCCCTGGTAAATGGGTCAGGAGGAGTCCTGTTTTAATAGGTCATCTACTCTTACCAACCACAGCTTCCCTGGATTAACCACTTTCTGTGTGCCAGCACTAGGCTCAGTTCTTCAGACATGCTATCTCATTTCATCCTTATTGCAATACTGAGAAGTCAATGTCATTGCTCCATTTTACAGATAGAAGGTAGGCACAAAGAAGTTAATTCATTTGTCTGAGGTCACACAGCTAGTAGTTGATGGAGCCTGAAATTTGACTGACTCAAAGCCTGTGCCGTTAGAGGTACCGAAATAATTATAAATGTAATTATATGTAGTCTGTAATTTGCTTGAAAATAAAGTTGGTTGGGGAAAAGTGTGTAGGGTGCAAATTGAACAAGGTTGGCCACAAGTTGTTAGTTGCTGAAGCTGATGATGAAAACATGGGAGAACGGTACTGTTCTCTATGTTTTTGTACATGTTGTAAATAAAAGTCTGGTCTTGTAACAACTTTGCTATATTTGTATGTTTTAGAGTTAAATTTACTCATCATCTTGTGGAAAGCATTATAATTTTTATTCTGATAATTGTACAGAGTATTTTTATTTGGCTAATAAAAACACAAGCTTTGAAATTAGTTTTTTGTTTTGTTTTGTTTTCTTGTTAAGGCAAGAATTATATACCCGGCAAAATTGTCCCTCAAATATGATGGTGAAATTAGGAGATTTCCAGATAAGCAGAAACTAAGGGAATTTGTTAAAAC